AAAAATGTCGACTTGTCGTGATGATGTCACTTGTACGAGCGCAGTCTCTCCCTAGGTATTCCTTTCAGACAGCAGGTGATGCTTTGTCCTGGCCTGATTTCTACCCACACGCCTGAGACGCCCGAGGCGGCCCTGCTTCGCCGTGTCTTGATGATTGACAGCCTACGAGCAAGTTTTCCGATGGGACGCCCAAACCGATCTACATATTGTCGACAAATTCGCTCCCTCAGCCAGCCGAGAAACTCTAATATGTTCGGGGCCGAGGCAGGCCGCCTAAGTCGGTTCTCGAGGAGATGATTAGTTGGCCATCCCAGCCCTCTTGTCATTTTTGATTATCCCACCTACCAAAAAACGAACGATCGGCTCCGGCCATTGCCTATTCCAGTTGCTATGGTGGTTACCAAGAAAGGGAGCACACCATCCCTCTAGATCGTGCTGCATCGCATGAGAGGGCGATCACATTTGCCATTTGTCGTCTTCTGACCGGTCTTGCCTGTGACCTCGTGGGCTAGGGCATCAACGACGCTGCCTGGCCCTGGCCCTGGTGTGGAAACGCTTATACTCTCCACATATGATGATGGAGCCCAACAAGCCACATGCGCTGTCATGTTCACACCGACCACGGCCCCAGATCGACCATCGAGATCGACCTCTCGCTTAAGGGGGGGATCAGAGGCAAGGAATGGTGCGCATGCAAGCGCAAATGTCCGAGGTCTCGAGGGCAGGGCTGCCTTCTTCAGCGGAGATCGATGTCCCGTTTGTGTGCCGATCACGCTGCTGGAATGCAGGAAAGGCGAATTGCCATGTGGCTGGATGCTGATTTCACATGATCATCGGATGCTCTCACGGTTGACTTTTCCTAGGCATATATATGTTCAGCGCACTACGAGGCGTCTCTTCTTGTTGGACATCGACAGAAATGGCTGAAATGGACTTTCTCATGCGTGAACCTGTTCTGAGGCGCAAGTTCAATATAAGAAGAACTGCACTTCGCTAGAAATGGAAGAAGCTCCTGTGCGGCGCGCTGTTTATTTCCAGGCTAAGGAGAGAGAGGGCTGCTTCGCGGAAGCTCACTTCACCAGCTCACCTGATCTGTGCCTCGACCGATTCGCCAACCCCCAGGGCTCCTTCGCCTGGCCTGCTTATCTGTCCAACATCCAACGATCGTTATTTAGCCGTCAATGTCGTGCCACGCCTTTAAGCGCGCTGCAAATGATCATTGCGGGAATATAACGCTCTGGAGGCGATTCATTCGGCCGATGGATTCCAACCATAACAACGGAAGTCGCCCAGCCAAGGACCTTCCCTGCCGCCGTTGACACTCATTCATGTCATCTTCTCCAAACGAAAAAAATACTTGATGCCCACCTGATGTAACTAACAATGGGGAGGCAAAACTTCAGGCCGCTAGTAAACGCACTGTACAAGCCTCCGTGCTGGGCAAGAAGCGCGGGGCGCCGATAGGGAAGTTCGTAACCCGATCAGCCTCCTTTATGAAGATCGGTGTGGCTGGTGAGAGGTGCTGGGGATGGAAGGCTTGGGGCGAGGTCTGGACGGGTCTCTGAGGAGACGATCTCTCCACTCTGGGAAACAATAGGTGAACATGTACATCCAAGGATCCAAGGATGGGGACTGGCGGAGGGTCCGGAGGGGGGTTGACAAGGGGGGATGCAACAGAGGTACGAATATAGGAGGCCTAGAAGCCGAGCCTGGAATGCGCCGCTGCGCAAGGTCCATGGTTTGGAGCATCAGTATGACGAAGTCGTTGTAGGTGTAGCTGGACATGCCCCTGGCGTGACAAGGGCAGGCCACCTGGCTGGCACAGACGACGGACGGGTGACTTGCAGGTTGGGCCACGGGGGGGTGCGAGGCGTGCGGTTTCGTTTTCTTTGGGGCACATTCTCCCTCAGTCTCACTGATCAAACAGGACCATGTCGAGCGAGGCATCGGCCGATAGGGCGAGGCATGTGTCTAGAAAGCGAGTTGAGGGAATGTCTTGCGGCCCACGTTGGTGGTTCATGTCCGACAAAGGAGAGGCAAGGCGCGATGCATCCGCGAGCAAAGTCTGGACACGGTCTCAACAGTCGATCGGAGTCCGCGTGTGATGGCTGTCTCGGTTGAACAAGGTCAATCAAGAGCCCTGAATAGATACCTTATTAGCAAGCCCTGACATGGAGTCGACGGCGCGAGGGAAGCCTGTCTTGTGATCAATAGCATCGGCCGGAAGGGGACGGGGGCGTGTAGCGAGTGAATTAGTGGACTACAGGCAGACACACCAGTTGGCGGCAGGACCAGCCAGGAGGGGGAAGAGGCGTTGGCAGCCCAGCACGTCATTGGTCAGGCTTTATGGTACTGTGACGAGGCCAGAACCTCGATTGGTATATTGCTTCAGGCACAAATTTGACAGTAGATGCTCGGCGAACAGCCCTGGACTTATCAGATAGTCTCGTGAGAAAGCGCAATCTCTTGAATTTCCCTGAGCGCTATCTGGCGCTATCCGCCTCGCACCTTCCTCCTGCTGCGTATAAGATAGGACAAACAAGCATTATATTCAGAAAACGGCAGCGATTTCGGAGCCACTCCGATAAGGCACGATGACTCCTCCGAGGACAGTGCGTGCAGGAGACGTCACAGTACAAGAGCGAGAGGGGTAGCTTTAGTGAGCCTCGGTGATGTTGAATCTCTCACCCTTTCAGTGGACACTGTGCGGTACCTCACCTCCTTCGCGTGTTTCTTGCTGGGGAAGACATCTCCAGGGTGTGAGCCTCTGCACATTGCACAACTTCCACAAAATAATTCCAACCACGGGCAATGGATGATAACTCGGCAATTGACTTCGGAGACCACGTACACCCAAGGAAAAAACGACATGATCGGGCAGGCGTCGAGAGCACGCAACAAAGGTAGAATTCATAACGACGTTGGGACTCGAATACCGACTTAACATTTGGACGTTGGGCAAGCCTGGTGGCCTGACAGACATCTGCACTGGAAGTGTTCCAGAATCGCTCAGTCTATACCTTCCTACCAGCTAGAGCGAAGGTCAACACCTTCCCCGCATGTATACAACGGCAACAATGGAACGACCCAAGCAGCTATTATTCAACTTCACCATGTCTAGTTCCAATTACGACAGCCCATCACCATTTGTGTTTGTCGATCTGTTGGAAGTCTCCGCGCGGGGCCTGCAGGCAATCATTTACCCCTCATCAGCATGATACACATATATACTCGATGTATATGTGCAATGCAAGAGTTCAGGCCGTTCCCAAGGGGGCAGCTCTGCCGTGGCACAATATCTGGACATTGTACAGCCTCCGTATGAGGTGCTGTGCATGATTCCTATTGTCAGTCTTCAAGCATTCAGGGTTATCAGCTCGTCGTCTAACGTGTCCTCACTCGGAATGACCTTCGCTATAAACCCAAGACACAACTTCCAACGGCTTGGGAAATCCCGGCGTCTGGAATTCTCCAGATGAAGAAAGAAGAAAAAGGGCTGCCAAAGACAATTCTGCATGCAATGATGTCCTGGCAGATCGGAAATACGAAAGACCAAGTTTTTGAGCGGGCCGGATCACAACTTCGTCTGACGGGCAAGCTTGCTTCAACATTGGCAGGATGCGAACGAAGTAAGACAACCCCATTTCATGCCGAGTGCAACGAGGTAGGGAGGCAGCACGCTACCCACGCAACAACTCAACCAGCCGCAGTCAGACGTCTCCCTCCAGGATCCCTTGCTGGGTCAGGGCCTGGAGTTCCGTCAGCCCACTGGCTGATGACGACTTTTCCGCGTCTTCAGCAACCATTGTTTCTAAGCGGGCGAGAAGAGGCGAAACCAACTGCCTGCCTGGGTTGGCATCGAGGGTCAGCTGCCCACTGCGCATTACCCACCTACAGTACGAACCCTCGTCAGACAACAGGCGCGCGCCCTGGGTGTTCGAAGTGCCTGGCGGGCGCTGAGGAAGGAGACGCACTGTGACGCGGACAAGGATCCAGTCAGAAAAGGCAGCCGGGAGACCACTTCGCCTCCTCTCGCAGCGTGCGATGGCCGCTAGACTGCAACGAGGGATGCTGAGAGCTGCGACCCAGCACTCGCCCACTTGTCTCTTGCGGGCTGGTCTGAATACCCACCCCCTCTCAAGGAGGCCTGGCGTCTCCTCCCCCTCACCAGCTCCACAGTGCACCTCAGAGCCAGCGAGCTACGCACCCGCTCTCTCCACGAACACCGTCGTCTGTCTCCTCCCTTGTCGTCCGTTCAGATCCTTGTCCCGGCCTTGATTGGACCCGGGCTTTTGGCTTGCGAGACTGTTGCCAATCATATCCTCGATATCCTCTCCACCTTCCGTCTCACCCACAGTTCAAGGCCAAGGTCATCCACATCAAGGGCAAGCTCCCCCCTCTCGGATGGAGGAAGTATCTTGTACAGTGCAGCAGGTTTCAGCGACTGCGCCTGGCCCCTTTCCTCCTGCCCATACCTGTCTGTCGCCTGGCGCCTGCTCCTCGTGGCCTGTGCCTGTGCCTGTCCGGCTTGGTGTTAGTGCTGCCGCCAGATGCCCATCGATCAGTGTCCCGTGTCCTAGGTATGTCCCGTGTCCACCACCTTCCATCGCATTCCGGCACGCGCCTTTGAAGTGCCGTTGACCGGTCTGTTTCGCCAGTGCTCACCGTCTGGCCACCCGCGCTCTTTCCAAACACCACCTGTCTCGCAGCGGTCTGCCTCTGGTGCCTCCATCTGAGCCCAATATTCGTGGACGGCCTGTTGCACGTTCTTTCAAGTGTTGATTGAACTGGCAACGTTCGCTACTCTTCTGTGCCTGTGCCTCGCAGGTTCCGTAGACGCCATCATTGCGAACCGAAAGACACCATTGATTCCCGCTCCTCTCACCTCCGGTGGGTCCGTACTTGTCCCACTGTACAGGCGAGAGAGCCTACAGGCCTACAGGCAGGCATAGACAAACCCAAGCCCAGATGGAGCGCAGTCATGCCTGTAGCCACGGCCCCATGGAGCAGCCGGGCTAGAATGTACTCACTGAAGGTACCACTGCCCGTCGCTTGAGTGGTGTGTACCTACCTACCTAGGTACCTTACCGAGCTGGGTCGATGTTGCTTGCCCATGCCACAGTGCTTGCTTACGGATATGCTACCAACAATCGACCAACTCCACCAACACTGTACAGCGACCTGCTCAGGCCTCCTCCTCACCCCCCCCCCATCCTTACCCCCCCTTTACACTCGCACCCTCCCTCTGGCACACAGACACCCCCCGCCCGAATTGCTGTTGCTCGCTCCCAAAATAATATTATTTCGCTGTTACTGAGGCATACCTTCGCGACTCCTTTGCCTTGCACCACCTTCACCACTTCTACTTCCACCACGTCTCTTGCGCGCAACATCACGGCTACCTTGCAACGACAACGACTCTCTTTTCTTTTGAGCCTCTAGGTCTCCTCTCCCCTCGCGACCCGGCAGTCTTGTCGGTTCCAGTCAACACACATCGTCAGCAATGGCCTCTTCCAAGGTACACTCTCCCCAGAGCTGGACACCCCGGGCTGCCCGCTGTTAAGCCGGAGCTGCGACGGCCAGATTGTTGATGATCACAAACCTCCACGACACCTGCTTCCGAGTTCAAAACCCATGGCTGACCATCGAGTTCGCATCTCTAGGAGATGCAGCAGTCTACAAGGCCATTGACTCATCGGTCCTCCGTTTCCGCGGCCTCGGCTTCAGGCCTCATGACCCGACAAGCCCACTCGCGGACCAGCTCCCACTCCATTTTGAGCAGTTCGCTGAATGCCAACCACCGCGTGACCCGCCGCAAGTCCATGACCAATAACACAACCAATGTCGCGGCTGTAGAGGCGGCTCTCAAAGAGGCCAACGCCGACGGCTCCGTGGCCATGCCCATCGGCTCCAGCGCGCGCCGTAACACGGCATCCAAAAGCGCCGCTGCTCGTGCCGCCATAATGGCAAACCTGCCGTCGCCCCCTGCGAGCCTCCCACCACAACATCGTTTCCAGCTGGAAAAGGATGCGATGATGCACGAGAGTGCCATTGAAGACGATCCTCAGGACATGTCTGCCGATGAAGGTCTTGACCAGAAGGCTTCTGTGCGCAGAGCGAGTGACGGACAGCCGCTCATCAAGGAACGGCGCAAGAGCAACCGCGTTGAGCTTCGTTGCGAAAAGTGTGGCAAGGGATACAAGCACAGCAGTTGCCTGACCAAGCATTTGTTCGTTCCCTCCTTTCCCCCCCGCCTCCCCTCCCTCCAGCAGTCGATTCCGGTCTAGCGATCGCCTTGGGTCGTCCACTGCAAGATGAAGCATTCGCGGAGTGAAGTTCTGTGACTGATAGCCGGCCAGGTGGGAACATACTCCCGAATGGTCCTTCACGTCCAAGCTGCTCATCTCCAAGCACCAACAAGTTCAGCTCCTCGAGGCTGCGTCGGTGCTCGTAGCCATGAACGGGCCGGGGAAGGATTCCTCCACCCCGCCCGAGTCGGCCAAGGACTTCCAGAGCGACCCCGAGTCTGCTCCGTCACCTGAAGCGTCGGCATCGGGCTACTCGGACTCCCGGCACAGCTCTGCCGACACGACCCCGCCGCCTCAGATCGAGGGCATGACCATGTCTGGCTCATCGGGCCCCTTTTCCAAGCGCTACAGCGGCTTTGGTCGATCGTACCAGTCGGCTCCCTCGACCAACCCCCTCGTGACAGGTAGCATGCCGAGTGGCCCGGGTGGCTTCGCACACTTCCGCCATCAGAGCCAAGACGGCCGTCCTCCTTCTTCCGGACGTAACACCACGGGACAAGAAGACCATGAACTGGCCGCCGCGGTGGAATTGCTGAGTTGCAGCTTCAACAGCAACAACGGCTCGCGGACGGTGAACCTGCCTGCAGATGTACCCCCGGTGCCCCCTCTACCCTCTCGCTACCTCGACCAGGCGGCGTCCTTCAACAATACCGGCTTTCTCAGCAGTTATCCAAGCAGGCAGCCGGAAAGCTTCACCCGGGGCGAAATCCGACACCGTGACACCAAGGCCGAGGAGAGCGACAGCATGATGGATGATGATGAGTTTGATCGGCGGTCTCGGTCGCGCAGCGATGAGGACGACGATGGCGTCTTTGGACGCATGGAGGAATAGGAATTCTTCCCAATGTCGGAACCCGGAGTTGTCGATATTGTCATTCGCGGCAGTTGAAGACGGAGACAGATCGGGAGTTGATATGACCAACGAGTCGACGAGGAATGACGCCACGGAGGATTGTGCCCTTTTTCTTTTGTACCACCTTATAACTAAACCCCTTGTAAAACGAGGTGGTTCAGTCTCCGCCGCCGATCTCTCATCACCGAAGAGTGGAGAGCCCGATCCGGCTCTGTTGGGTCGATCGCGAGAGCATCTCCACGAGGTTAAAGTGAGGGACGGGCGGGCGTCGAGCGAACACCCACCAAGCATGCATGAAGCAAACCAGATGATATCATTTTCGAGACTTTCGAGTCGGAGTGGCCACAAACATTGGCTATGCAGCTCTTCTTGCGTAGGAAGAGTGTAATAAATTCAAATATGAAAAAACTCGAGACACAATTGGCCCATGATGTGAAGGATGAATTTTGTGGAATTGACTGTATGACTTGCTTGACATGCTGGCCGACTTGATCATCAACACAATCCCAGCTGTTGCAAATGTGCCGCGGCTGGCTGGATGCTGCTATCCATGACAATGGCAGGTATTGGTACGAAGAGTGTCTTCGCTTTCGAAGCTTTGCAGCCGAGCGAGGGCCTCGTCCACGAGAAAACGAAGAGGAAACCTGCGGACCGAAGAGCTGGCCGGCGGTTGCTTTTGAAGAGCAAGTCCCCGCGAGATCAAGGTTGGGAAAAAAAATCTTCTTCAAGGGTCCTCGAGGAAGAGCCCCGAACCCCTGTATCTCTGACCGAATGCTGGCTAGCTTCGTCGTCCTGCGCAAGCTGTCTCCGTTTGGTTGTGGGGTTTTCTTCCTCTGGCCAGACCGTGGTAGGCAGGTGGAAGCACCAGCCAGTAGCAATGCAACGCCGACTGACAGAGCTAATGAGCTCTCCGTACCAGGCAGGTAGGTGCGCGCGTGGTGGGCCTCTGGAGGCTGACCTCAGCGCTCTTCTTCTTCTGTTGTTGTTTCCCTAGCGACGTCACCACCCCCACCGCAACAGCTCCTTGCGCTCGCAACCTACCTACGGTAGGTACCCCATCGCGACCTCTTCTGCGCGCACACACATTGACTGGCAGCAGCCCTCTTTCTACCAGTTCACCTCGCCTCACATTTGAACTGATTGGTTCCATCACTACACGTCACCGAGACTGTTTCTTTTTCCTCCACCCGTTTGTTTCTCGAGATAACACTCTTCCATTCCTTCCGTCGAACGCCGACAAACTAGAATTGATCGAGAATCGCAATGCCGACACTACGCAGAGCCGCGAAGAGGTCCGAAGAGGCCCACTACGACGGTCTTCAGGTCGATGAGTCTACGCGCGCCCTCGAAACCGTCGCGGCGAATCTCGAATCCGTGACGTCGCACCCCGAGAGCGGTGTCGTCGAGGCGCTGGGTGTTGTCAATGATGCCACTGAAGTGGTCGCACGCAAGGCGGATGATGCTATCGTCACGACCAAGGAGGCGGTTGCGTCAAAGGTCGCGAGCAAAGGCCGGTCGAAACTGCCGACCGTCCTCCAGTTCCCTCTTGTCACGCTGCTGAGCTTCAGCGTCTCAAGCCTGTGCTACAGCTTCCTCAATGAGTGGAGTGGTGGGGAGCTCATGAATGTGGGCAAGAGCCTGGATACCTGGGGCGAGGTTGGGGGTTCTGGCGGGGCTGGGGATGTGAGTACCTGTGATCGCAAACACGGGAAGGGTCAATCAACAGCTGACTTGGTATAGATCTGAGCTGGGCCCTTGTGTGGTTCGGCTAACTTTGAATGGGCTTGATCTGGCTGCGCTGAATCTCCTGGCGCATTGCCCTGCGATGATTGAACCCTCC